TAAGCAGTCATGCAAATCAAAATTCTGTTTCCGAAGGAAGACAAATGAGACAACAGATTGTCATTAATATGATTGTGATTGATCTGGCAAGGGCCATAAAGATATCGTGTGGAACGCTGAGCCAAATTACAAGGTATTTGGGAATTCATAAATAACAGAAGAACTCAGCTTGCGAGGAAGGTTACATTGCCATAGTGGTTGTCAAATCAAAATAGAATCATTTGAATGGGAAAATGGTCCTCAAAATGTTGCATTAAAGAGAAAACTGTAACTATTGATTGGATCAATCTCCCGTACATTTCTCATCTCATCACTTTGTGCTGAAAGCATAGGGACAGTAGCCTGGCCTTGGCCATCCGTACACTCCGCTCAATCATAATTTCACCACATGTAACGTCTGGGCCTGGTCCCCATCTTAGCGATTACAATCAGCTGAATTTCGACCGATCAATCAGAGAGCGCGTTGTAGGTCGGTGCCGGTGACGTCAAGAGTTTGCGCCGAACGGGCAGGTTGTGGTTTGGCAGTGGCGAAGAATGCGATAGTAAAGTATTCCAGTCTGGTTCTATCAAGAAATTGACGCAGGAGCAAGAGGAATGTTTAGCAAATGTAATCGCTGGTAAAGATTGTGGCGCTACTCCCCACGGGCTCCGTTAGCAGCAAAGGAGATGCCTAGGCTAAATGCTAAATGCTAACAACAGACTCAGGCGCACTACATACGTCACGGTAAACTCAGATCCAATTGTTTCAATCTGCAAAAAGAGTTAACCCCTCCCACCCGTAAACGGAGCTCAATGGAGCACGTCCAGACCTTAGTACGAGATGTCATTTGTACTATGGTGTGGTACGACAAGGCTATAGGGACAGGCTTTTGAAAGGGAATCAGCTCTGTTTGTGGGAAACTGTTAAAAGATTAAGTGTGATACATTTTGCCTGTTTTTTGTCAGATTGACTCCACTACAAATTACAGACAAGCAAGTTTAGAATCACTGTCAATGTCTGCAATGTCTTCTTGTTGACAACAATGTCTTCTTGTTGACGTCATTCATTCGATTCTGCAGCTTGGAGCAAAGACTAAGAGATGAACAAATTTCCATATAAATAAACAAATAATACATTAGTGATATTACTAGTGCTGACTTTGTGCCTGGCACAAGCTTGGTTTGTGAAGTAGCTTGAAGTTTGGATTATAGCATGATGTGAGCTGTCATAAAATACAGACCTATAAACATATCGTGCATATTTAAATCATTGGGAAAAGTGTAATGTAAGTGGGCTAAATTAAATGAGCTGACTTAGAGAGGTCCAGTCCATTCAGCTGCAATCCACATTACAGCACTGTACATGCATTTACCACACTGAAGCGCACACTCACATACACACACACACACACACAAACGGGCGCGCGCACACACTGCCGGGTGGAGTATCTCTGCAGGACTACAGACAGGCACCGTGACTGAGCTTTACAACATGTACAAGAAGAGAATACCAGACTAAACAACAATCAAGGCTACACCTACTGATTCTAATCTAAATGTACTGAAGAACAAATTATTAACATTTGTATAGAGATTCATGTTTTAACAAATGTCAAAGTTGCCTCAAGCCCGGCTGTTAGATGATGTCTCATCTAGTATATTTTCCTTGATGAACGAGTGGCAATCTCAATGAAATGCTCCTTATTGGTTGTGTTCATGCGACATCACAACATTCCAAAGAGCCTATAGTTTTTTGAGGCTATAAATTGTGGTGGAGGGCAGTTGAAAAATCGCTCCTCGTAACTATGGTAACAGTCAAAAGTCAGACTTCTTGTCTTAGTTTTGAGATAATTTCTCTGATCAAATCCACATGAAACAAACACATCTTCTTTGTCAGTACTTATCAACTCTGTGGTCTAATTATTTTCTAGTATTAGCAGTAATTATTTTCTAATTATTATTCGACTCCTCACAGCAGCAGTAGAATGCTCCATTGATTTGAATGTAATTTCAAAACGTTCAAACGTTTAGCATACTCATGATGTTGGCCGGTAGAAAGGACTTTCAGACTGAAAGAATAATATGGTGGGTTTGTGAATCTAATCACTGTCAATTAATGATCTTGGAAAACATTTGGACAATTTCTTACTCAACATTTCTTTCAAAAATTGCTTCTTTGTATTGGCACCTGCCCTGCAACGGAAATAGAATTCCAGAAAATGAACGCCGCCAATCTCTTGATTCAATTAAGCAAATAAATTAATAGAAATTTAGAGACAAGCAAGTGCACCACTGCGGTCCCTTCAGTGGCTTTCTGTGGAGATGGAGCCAAATGTGAAATCTTCCTCCTGACATACAAAGCCATCTATTATATTTTTTTTTCTCACCCAAAAATGTCTAACTAACAATGAGGCAAGATTTTTGAGTCTTTTTATGCAAAAACATAATTCAGATAATTTACTTAATCTTCTTGTTTCTGTTGTAAATCCAGACCATTATTAATGGACTAACTAAACTACTAAATATCTACATCTCTAGTCAGGATTGGGCCTTTCGCCTCCGAGGCCTCATAATAATGTCTGGGGTGTGGAGTGTAATTTGGAGGTTTGTTTTGGTCAAAGTGGCTCCTGCTCTTCTCGTAAACCATTAGAGAACCAAACCAGTCTCATTTAATTACCCTTATTAACACTCACTCACAAATGGCACTGGGTTTTCTCAGGTTGAGCAGAACGTGGGACACTGTTTCTCCAAATGTGTCAGGCGTGACCTCATTTTGCCTGTACACTACACAGAAGGCTAAAATGGTTTAAAATATAATATTCTATTGAATCCAAGAAGAAGAATCAACATAAACAATCATAAAACACGTTGAAGTATGTTTGGTTAATTATATATATTGGATTCAAAGCTGAAATCTGCAACTTTCAGGTGAAGAGTCAGCTCCATGCTGCCATGTTCTCATTCTCAACCTCAACATTTAGTTTATTAATCTTTAGTAGACCAATATTTTATTCATGGGACAATAGCTTTTACCATAAAATATGCATCATTTCCTTGCAATGATAAGCAATAGTTTGTCCCGTCTTTTATCTTGTAAAATTGCATTTTCATCCTTCAGGATTCATCTGCATTAGGCACAAGAAAAGGTACTTCTGGCTGGCCTAACATCTGCCAAAATGATGAAAACCCCTTTATTCATTATCCAAGCTCCTTTGGAGCAGTCTGCTCGGAAGTTACATTTCATTTCATTTTCCAATTCAATCAAACAATTAAAACATATCAAATGCAATATTAACCGATAGTTGGATGACCAATGTCTGTAAATGTTCAGGATCCTCACTGTTGTTAGACGGTAAAGCATTAGCAAGGGCTCAAACACCCAGTGGGGAAAATAATAAAAGAACTCTCAGGGAGGTCCAAAGTGAGATGGAATTTTGTTTTATCAGAACAGTTGTTTATGCTATTGTGTGCTTACTTAATGGAGTTTTTATTGCTCAAAAATATCTACCAATATTGAGAGAATGATCATATCTTTCATATTAGTATCAATAACCAATTACCATGATATCAATCTCAAACCAGAAAGATACACAGTGCAACTTTAAAGCGCATCCAACTTAAACTTGGGAAAAAATATGAATCACCACTCAACTATCAAACTGATTATGCAAGAGGAACATGTTGACGGTCAACTACCACTGTAACCACAGCTGCCCTGAGGCAGACTGACAGAAGCAGGGCTTATAATCTGTGCCATTGCCCTTTCCGACCCCCAATGCTCATTCACACGCACACACACACACACACACACACACACACACACACACACACACACACACACACACACACACACACACACACACACACACACCAGACTCACTCTAGGCAATGTGGGTTAAGTGGACACAACGACAGTTTACTTTACAGCCTCAACCACTTGCCAAGCAACCACAACGTAAACCAGACTCAAAGCTCAACTAATTTGTACATTCTTTTTTCTCTCTGAATGTTTAAACTTCTGCATACTTCTGCATTTAGGACAGACATTTTTTAAATATGAATTACAGAAAGGATTAAAAAACCAGACCATAGACAAACTCAACGTCTAAGAAATTTATCAAATTATCAAAGTTTAATCTCCCTGCCATAACATCAATAAAAGTAACATGTTCCCATGTCCATTATGGCCCTTTTAGTATAAACAAATTCAAGGTAAAACTAGACTGTATAATAGGCATGGATAGAGCAAATGGACAGAGCTCTTGAATCGCTTTCTATGAGCGAATTTAGCTCCAGATTCTCAGTAGAGTTATATAGAAGTTACAAAGCTACTTCCTTGAGTCCAGTTACTGACGCGAGTGGCTGGATTTTGTGCCTCAGTAAGTTTGTCTCAGTAAACTCTTCTACACTCAGTCTGGTCCTTTCGTCGACCTACAGTATGTCCTTAGTTTAAAATATATACATTCTCTTCACTTCCTCCTCTGTCCTCCAGGAGAAGTGTACATTAGCCTATGAATGTGTATGAAAACTTTGACGAACATTGAGTCGACTCCATTAGCAAATATTTTGTCTAAATGAACACTAGAGATAATATGTCTATTAGTGTTAACACAATAAAAAACTTTCATGTCAATGTCAATTTTGAAACCAGGATGATTGGTTTAAAATGACAATTATAACATTAAACCAGCTTTTACAGTGCCTCATGGATGTTACCATAGTTACATCAAAACATAAAACTGCTCAAGAATTTTACCAAATTGTGTAATTTTTATCAGTATCAATCAATACTTGCTCAAACTAGTATCCAGTTTCAATACTAATTAACTAATACTTTTAACAACCCTCATGTCTACAAGCGCATTAACAGTCCCTTCATGATTAAGCCCAGTGGATTTCCCTCACTCTGCAGCTTAGCTTGGGTGCAGAGTGTGTCTGTGTCTCTGTGAGCATGTGTGTGTGTGTATATGTGCGTGAGTCTGTGTGTGTGGTGAGTGTGTGTGTGTGTGGGGCCGGCTCACCTGGCTGCAGTCCCGGGCTCAGCAGAGGAGGATGCTGTGGCTGTTCTCCGGTGGCTGCAGTGTGTGAGAGCTGCAGCGAGGAGCTCAGAGGTGTGCTGTCCCGGACCGTCCTCCTGTTATACGGAGGAGAGCAGTGGGAGGATCACACCTCACTGCCCACAGTCTAAGGGAAAAGAGAGGACATGTTCACCAAGTCAACAATCAGTGAGGCACCATAAGCTTCAATGAATATTGGCTGTGAAGGGCCTTTTTTCACTTGTAATTATTCATTCAAGCAGTAGTTTGTGAGAAAAAATATATATTCAAAATGCATGGGGAAAATGTACAGCAATACCTATCTAACCACACTAGGAAATAAAAGCACTAAAATGTATTTGAAACGTAATGTTTTAATACCATAGTCTGAATGTTGACTTGCATTGGGGGTTATAATTTCCACTTCCACCTGTAGATGGTGGCAGTGGGCAGGGGTGATCAAAGGGGCGATAATGCAGATTGACAGCCTCTCTTCCATCAGTCTACCCCAGGGCAGGTGGGTCTACCTCACCACTCATCATGGAATGAATGAGTTCAGTGTGGCTCATTTGGGAGTTTTCAACAAGCCTGTAAATGCGGTGTGAAGTGGAGGTGGGAGGGCTGAAGCACTGGTGCTTATATTTTTGTCTTATTATTTTAAGCCTAAAACTGAAGAACTAAAGCAAAGATTCTCAAAACAGTATTGCAGCAACATTACTAAAATTCTGAATAAATAAATGCATCACACACCGACAAACTGTTTGTTATTCTGTCCTCATCTTTACTGTCAGTAATGTGCTGTACATATTAGAAACAAAAGCCTAATGCACAAGTTTCACACTAGGGAAATTTTCAACTGTAATATTTGATTGGTAATGTCATAACTAATAACTAAATGGCATATAAAACTAGTTTCTCAATAAGGAATGAAGTCACAGAACAATCTGAATATATTAAAATGAACACAATGAGTTTACGGTCACCACTGAGTGTGTTACACACGTGTGACGTGTTCCGTCTCAAACATCCTCAAATGATGAGGAGCAGTAATATCAGGGCAAAGAAAAATACACAAAGCAAATAAAAAATATTGGTGACAGCAAAAGAATGGTAGGATAGACAAAGCTGATTTGAGACTGAGAACTATATTTATATTATAGTGTAATACTGAATTCACCACTGACCAGTTTATTTAATCTGTCTCTATTTTCTTTGCATCTTTGCTCCCTCCAATTATATCGACTTCAAATCAGAATCAGAATCAGAATCAGAATCATTTTTATTGCCAACGTAAGTAACGGGAGGTCACAGACTTGGAAATTGCTTTGGCTCAGTGCAACAGTCAAAAAGAGATAATAAAAATAAGAATAAAAAACACTTCTAAAGAATAAATTTAAATTTAAAATAGAGTTACAGTTACTATTTACAATATACAAGTGCACATGGTGCACACAATGTAAGGTGACAGCAGTACAGTGAAGTAAAGTGACGAATGAATCAGTTTGAACTTGCAATTCTTGGACCACAATTAAAACTTATTTGTAAGGGGTGCATAGTTCACATCCTATGTATCACAATACATAGGATAAACCACATACGATGTGATTTATTCTAATAATAAACTTTCACAAATGTTTTTAATCAATACGAGAATCATTGGATTGTTTATCACAGTATATCACCAAAACAAGATTTTATAAACTCGACTAATGTATTTAAGTACCGTTACATTTACTAGAGTTTCTCTTTTTGCAGAGGTGTTTCTTCAGCTGCTGCAGTGACAGTGTGCAGCTCTTTCTGGCTCAGAGCTGTTTTCAGAGCAAACACATCACAGACTACGTTGTTGAATGTTTTGACTCTCTTAGGTGTTCTTAAGGAGCTTCTGTTTCTACTATAACAGCCACTCAAAACTTCCACTTTCTACATGTTTCAGGAGAGAGGTCAGTGGAGCCGCTTTTGTGGGAACTGGAGGAAAGCACAAGACCACCACATGCATTTCTGTGTCTACCTGCACATTTCTGGCATTTTGTCGCCCCCAAAGGATTCACAGACAGGACATATGGGATGTAGTATGAAATGTGGAGAAAGAATATAGAAAGTGTATGGAGCCAAGATACAAGATACAAGTAATAAAAGCCATTTTCAAGTATTGTCTTAAAACCTCCTTGTCATAATCTTAAAGAATAAATATAATGCATTATTATGGGCCACAAAAATTATAATGAGACATTTTACTTTGATATTGGTTTCAGAATGTTAAATGACAGGAAATGCTTGTAACTTCTATTGTTACAACCTGAGAGAGGAGTTGATTTCTGTTTTATTTTTTTATTTTGTTCAAAAATTCTAAAATTATCGGTTGAAAACACCGCCATGCATTTGTTAACATAATTCCAGATGAGAAATAAATTTATAACTGCTTATCATTACAGGTTTGCGACAGAAGTGTTTAGATCAAAGCTTTCATGGGCTAAGAACAACTCAAGAACCAACACACGGGGGGGAAAAACACTACAATGAAAGCAGGAGTCTAACCTCAACCTCACAATGGATTCAGCTCACTGACTTGAAAAAAATAAAAAAAAACCTAAAGAATACATACAAGGGTGAAAGGCATGGTGCGGTGCTGGTTCAGAAACACTTGGAGAATGCAGGGCGTGCAGTGAAAGCTCAGAGCAGTCTTTGTGAGAGTGGCAGATGCAACAGCAGCTGAAGACATGTGGCCCCTCACGTCACTATCCCTTTCTCGGGCTCAGATCTAACCGGACGGACACTCAGCTGGCTGGAGAACAATAACCAATAACAAGATTAAACAAGGCGTATTGTCTTCTAGAAATTGTCCCATTCCTAAAAGCACCTGGCCCTGCAGTAAACTCACAACAGAGTACCAGCTAAGCCAATCAAACTATTGAAAGCCGTCTTTCTCAGTAGTATTTCATGTACTTGACAACAAAAAATAACTGCCCCTTATTTCAGAGGGTAGTTTGAAAAACACCTAGTATCAGCCTGATTCCTTGTGGACAAACATTTGGTATCTTTCACCAGTGCTTGTCCAAACCACCGCAAATCTGACCCATATGACATGGCTATTTTGGGGTCCATCCTTGCTCTGTTGTGACTCCTCAAAGATGATCATGTGGCAAATTCATTCAGAGGGCTGGTCCCTGAAGAGCAGCTGACCACGGCTCGGGGCATTTAAACTTTAGAGGGCCACACGGACAGCTGGCTGCTCCAACTGCTGCTGGATACAGTGTGATAACTTCGGTAAAGATATATCAAAATATAAATATACAGTTCTACTCTATTCTCTATATTTTTTGGGATTTCATGGGCTGGAGATGGGAGCGTTCATTGCCAAACTACTGCTGCCCACGGTAAGCAGCCTCGTCTTCCTACCCACAGCCAGCGTCGCGGCAAAGCGTGGATTTCACCTTGAGGCCATGGTCTACTTCTTCACTATGTTCTTTGCCACGGTAAGAGCAGGACACTGGGCTCACAGCAGGATTAAGGGTATCTGTTATATCTGCTGTATATTTTTTCATTCATTTGCATCTAGCTAGTTTAGTAAGTAAGCTAGTGAGTAAATAATGTTGACAGTATGAGCAGAGAAGGTTTATAAGCGTCAATAGTGAGTAAAGTTATTTTCTCCTGTAATAGCTTATAACAAACTGTGACAGAGCTCTGACAAAAGCTATGAGTCTGCAACTTCATATTTAAATTATATCTAACGATAAATGCATTGCCAGGTGTTACCCTGGGTGCAGCCGAACTTGAACCCCGCCTACATCACATTTCTGCGGGCAGTTTTCACATGGCAGTTCACATTCTGACCAAAATCTTGAGGATCATGTAGTCAGGCTAGCCATGAAAGATGAACAGTAGCAGTATTGTGCATTTAGTTGAACAATTCATAATTTTGCGGTGTTCAACCAGATATGCTGTACAAACAATATGCTATATAAATTGACTGTAAGATTCAGGGATGCAAAAGGTTCCCATTTTTCCCCACAGATTTTTGCAAAACCCTCAAAGTAACATTTACTTTGTAACATTCAAAGTAACATTTACTTTGTAACATTCAAAGTAACATTTACTTTGAGGGTAGACATTAACAGAAGACATTAATTTAAAAAATGCAACAACTTTTAGCCATCAAGCTTTCTCTGTATGATCAAAGCAACAACTGTAAATCAATCAAAGATAAAAAGGTAAGAACACCTTGTAGTTGGTAAAAGAATTGGAGACCACTGACAGAAAACTAGCTTCTACGCTGAAAACTCCAGATGACTACTTTTGAAACCTGCAATGGATCACTTGTGAACAAATGAGAGATCACACCCTTTTTCAGACAAACATTCATCAAAACATGCAAAGAACCCATCTTGCATGAGCTGGAGACTTTTTCAAACATTTACAAATAAATATGGTAAAATGGCCTACACTATGTTGAACTGCGTAGCCCATTCCTAATAATGTATGCGTCTGCTCTCAGATCTTCCACGCCTGTGATGGACCGGGGCTGTCCATCATCTGCTTCATGAGGTACGACGTTCTGGAATACTTCACTGTGTACGGCACGGCACTCTCCATGTGGGTCACGCTCATCGGTAAGAAAAATATTTGTGTCGTTGATGAAACTATACAATGGAAACTGAAAAGAGACTAAGTCGAAATAGGACAGAACCATGAATGAGTGTGAGAAGCAGCCTTTCTGTTTGATCAGCAAATAAACATAGGAGGAGCGCTGCGGTGAGTATTATCCACACTGTGTGAGAGAAGCCTGAGGTCCCGTGAGGCTCTGGAGGGGAGCAGTTGGTCAAGCACTTGCCCAGTCAGTTGTTTCTTCTATTTAAAATGTTATAGGGGTATTAATCATATGGCACTTTCCAACTCATGGCTAACATTGGACACTAAAGAAGCCCAATGTAAAATATGATAAAATATGTGGTAATAATTGCTTGAATCAAGTCGGTTTGATCTTAATTTGAGTATAGTCTGACTGTCTTAAACCAAGATTTTCCAATGGGACAAAGCCATTTAGTCTTATTTCAAGAACTGTTGATTTATTTTCTCATTTCAAGGGAGACATTTCTTGTATCTTTTTAAAACATCATTTTGGTTGTCCCATTGGCAAATCTTGTTTTAAAGCAGTCAAAATGTGCTCAAATTAAGATACATTTTGCCAAATTTGAGCCATTTTTGACTTGTTTTTCATCACTTTTTGCAGTGAGATGGGACAGATTCAGCAGGACAATGTGTATTATGAGAGAGTCTGTCTGGGAAAACTGAACTGTCTTCAAGAATTTGGAGAGATACTTGTCTGTTTAAGAAGCAGAGGCTGGGGATTCACTGAATAAAAATCAGACCATAAACCTTAAGGCCAGATTTTTGTACTTGTCCATGTAATTGAGCAAAACCAAATCCCAAGTGCAGATAGATTGATGTTTTAATAAGCTTACTCCGACGGACAAACTCTAGAAGAGGTGAATAACCAGGATACACAGAATATGCGGGAAACATACAAGTTAACAAGTGAAGATAATTCAAATCCGGTACAAAGAATTTGAGGTGCACTAGTTTTTGGCTTTGTTGCAGTTTCTTGCACACAGTATGTCCCAGAAACGGAAGGGCTTCAACATAGTTTCAAACAACAGTTAGTTGTTGGCCGTTTAATTGGTCAAGGACTTTGTAGTCAACTAAAAATTATATAATTCAAAAGTTTTTTGTAGATGGGAGGAATTATTTGAGGCCCATTTCTTTCAAAATGTTGAATACTTAATTATGTTTGTATTGCTCTTCTCCACTAACCTTTGCTTGGTCCCAGCTCTAGGGGAGTTTGAGGAACCGCAGCGGTCCAGCATCACCATGTTCGGGGTCCTGACCATCGCGGTGCGCATTTACCAGGACCGGCTCGGCTATGGCGTCTACTCAGGACCCATCGGATCAGCTGTACTTATCCTCACTGTGAAATGGGTTAGTGTGACAGAATTTAAAAATAGAATATCAATGTGAAACTAGAACTGTAACATGTAAAGCTGCAACATGCCATTTTAAATTTCTCAATTGTGAGATCAATAAAGTTTATCTTATCTTAACATAGCGTACAGACCCAATCCTTAATTGGAATCATATGAACTGACGAGTATTGACTCCTCCTCTTTGGTCATGCGAATATGCAATAGTTTCATAAAGGAAACTTCTCCCCTGTAGTTTCACAGTCGCACTCACAAACATGCATTCATCTCATTCAACCTGAAATATTGTACATGTTTTAGTGGTAGGGGAAACTGGAGCACCCAGAGGAACCCTATGCAGACACAGGGAGAACGTGCAAACTCCTTAGAGAAAAGACCTGTTCGTAGTTGGTCCCGTCATGTTCTTCTAACGGTGAAGCACACGTTGTTTTCAGATCCATCAGCAACTTCTGGCACAAACATGTAACTCCATGTGGGGCCCATACATTTTTTTTTGTCAGCTCAGATATGGATTAGGTGAAATTATATTTTATTTTCAATGGCTGTGTTTGCAGCTGGCCCTTTTAGAAATATGGAAAATTACCAGATGGTGGTAGCACAGGTTTAGGGCAGACCAAAATTCATTTTAGCAATTTCTCAGGTGAAATGACATTCTTTACTAGCACGTGTTTGCAGCTGGTAATTTCAAATTACAAAAAAACTAAACTAATTCAGACTCCTCACTCTGGAGGTAGCATGGCGGAAAGTATTTTTAGCCGTGTTCCACATTGACATAAATATTCTATCATTATAAACATGAAATGGCAAAATAAATAGTCTCAATATCATATTTAATGGACAAAAAATGTGTAATATTATCTCTTTGATATGATTTGTTTGTAGCTGCAGAAGATGAAGCAGCAGCGCTCGTTGTACCCAGAGAAGAGCGTCTACACACAGCAGGTGGGACCGGGCTGCTGCTTCGGAGCTCTGGCCCTCATGCTACGCTTCTACTTTGAGGTGAAACAACATCAGCAGAAACCATTAATCTTAAAACATAAATGTAACTTTAATAACTTATTAAATGTGTTCTTTGCAGGAATGGGACTACGCCTATGTGCACAGCTTCTACCACCTCTCTTTGGCCATTTCATTTGTGCTGCTGTTACCGAAGAACAACCGCTTTGTAGTGAAGGGACAGAGTGCAGTGAAGCTCTCCTGGTGCACTCTCTGTTGCTGTGTAAGACATTCTACAAAATATCTAAAACTCTGCTTAATTTATCATTTGAGACTTTAAGTGAAAAAAATAAGTACAATAATTAGAGACTAGAGCAGGCGTGTCCAAAGGAAGGCCTGCGGGTCAATTGCGGCCCGATGTGTCATGTCATACGGCCCTCTGCCTTGCAAACACAAAGTAGCCATTGAGGCACTTTCACAGTGTCATCGAGCCTCCACTGATAAATTCTATACCTCGTTGTAAAGCTCAGGACCTCTGAAATCCGGTCGTTAACTTTATTTGTATATACTGACTTTTATTGTGTCAAATTCTACATGTGCCACTAATGTGGCTGTGGTGTGAATCAATGTGGAAATAACAAACCCAATCAGCCAGAATCCAGACAAAAACATTTTAAAATCTATGTTGCCAACCCCTGGACAAGTCTGGTAAATACAAGTTTGGACAAACCAGGACTAGAGAGTAAAAAGAAAACAAATCAGTGAACACTGGAGCTAAATACTAGTGTGATGGGCAAACAACACCGATGCTTCGGAGCTTTTATTGCTCTTCCAGAAGCAATCTGCTTTAAAGCAATGAGTTAGAACGTGTAACAAAACAAGTTTTGTGATATAGTTTTCAGCCAAATCGCCCAACCCTAGTATCAACTGTGTCTGCACAATGTCGGGTAGTGAAGAGGCAGAGTGTTGTATAGTGTTAGTTATTGGAAAACGGGGATCCATGGTTTGGGATAAATTTTGATCTTATTCAACTTAACAAGGTATTTTCTCATCAAATGATTTTTACAATTAAGTGTTATCTACCATTTATGTTTCATGGTGACATTGTCAAAAATACGTCAGACGTCAGTGTTACAACCTAGTCTCCGTCACTTCTTTAGGTCACAATTATAGGTTAAACTATGAGAAACTAATTACCTTTGGGTATTTTGGCTTGTCACAATCACATATGTAGATAGACAGACAATGACGTATGATGTGATATATGATAAATATACAAAGCTACAAATATATGATAATATTGGAACTAGGAACTTTATGCCATTAATACTATTAATAGAGAAGACTAAGACAAATAAGTGAAAATATTTAACCATCCATTTACAGCTTAAATATTTCCATGTTACAAAGGCAATTGCAAAAAGTACAGCTGTCATTGCAATAAAAATGTACGATAGACATTTTGCCCAAAATATCCCGTCTATCAGCCATTGTACAATAACTTGAAAAAATATGGCAGCCAGCTATAGTGATGGACATTCAATGCAACATGTACTTCACTAGATTGTTTACCCAGGTTTTCTTTCCCAATTACAGACTCAAACTTGTACTGTATTTAAATTAATGAATGCAAGTTTGGGTAATATATATTCTCCTGCATTCAAGGGCTCATGTTTCTCCCACAAACAAAAATACTGATCCTGACCGCTCTCCTAGGGTTTTTAGGGCATTTATTGTCACAATCATTTATATAAAAATATGTCAAACGAAAGCACAATTTGTCAATTATCTAAAATTTGCACAGCAAAACCACAGATGTAACTGAAACCTTCATATTATATCCATCATAAAAGTGTAGGGTCAGAGATTGCTTGGGGCTGTGTGTGTGTTTTGTGTTGAATGAGTGAGAGGAGTTGGAGTCAAATAAGCGTCTACTTTGTCCAATCCCTTTTTACACTGCGTATTTACAGGTTTTAAATTAAAATCATTTAAGCGAAGGAATATTTACTATCTTGGTTTTTGCAGACTTTGTCCCCAGGTTCGACTAAAGAGATGACTGAGAAAATTGTGAAGAAAAAGAAGAGCCAATCAGTGTGGTCAATTCCCATAAAGAAAAAAGACAAGGACACGCCCACTCTGCCGCTGTTCCACACTCCGTCTCCCGTCAAAGGGACCAATATCAGTCGCCTCAAGGAGCTCAATGGCTGGAAGTGACGCTCCTGAAGCTACCTCTGTGATAGACAGACCTCATAAGGATTTATACAGAGAAAAGGAAAATTCCAGCCTGACAAACTGGAACAAAGTGAGATTATACACTCGCTGCAAATCAAATCATCCTAGGTCTTTTGACCACTGACTATGTTGCTGTGCCATATTCGTTTTAGATGCTGTATTAGTCAAAATACAAATAATACAGCAAGCTATGCATTCAATGGCAGCAATTATTTGCAATGGTGAAAGCTAACCCAAGAGGATTTAAAATAGTTACGACTAAACCATGGCGTGTAAGTGTTGCAACTATATTTTAGTTGTTATGCACGAAAAACAACACATTATTCTAAGGTGATTTGAACCTTATTGAGTTAAATGGAATACTATGTGTAAGCCGTCAGATGCAATATACACTAGGACACGCATAGAGTTGCTTTCAGATTGAAGCCCAGGAATAAATATATTATCTATTTAGTATATTTAGGTACATATATTCTATTTTAATTCGAAATATATGTATTTAACATCTAAATTACATTTAGAGTTGATCATCAACCAAATTAGAAATTTGCAGATTAACAAATGCCATTTAAACAACGACAACACTGTAGCATCCTGAGTTTAGTGCTGCTCTGAAGACAGCCTAAAGCAGACGGTTCAGGGAATCCACAGAAACATGCTTCAGGAGACTTTGGCCCGAGATAAGGCCATGTGTGTGTCTGAAAGCGGATTTACGAGCGCTGCACACCGACAGCGTTTACCTGTCCAACATGAATAAAAGTGCAGAGATGAGACCCGGGGGAGGCCTGGCGTGCCGTCTGTCTGTCTGCTTTAGTGAAGCACAGTTAGAGACAGTAAAGCACCTCTCATAGGTCTAATGTGCTCATAAAGGGAGGACACGAGTCTCAGAGCAGAGAAACTTGAACTGTTCTATGTAAATAATAGTGATGTATTTAAATAAATGTTTTATGTTGTATGTGAGATTATTTTCTTTCATCAAAAACTGAAAGAGGGGAAGTAACGGTAAATTGTAAACATATCTGGAGAAAAATGACAGAGCCATTGACTTACAGAATTTGAATGTGAACAGGTGAGACATATGAATGAAGCCTTGGTCCACTCCAGACAACATTATCTCTGGTTCTGTCTGAGGGAAACTCCTAACGCATTACCTCTAAAAGTTGCAGGTAAAGCACCACATTTCAACACTGAGCTGTGTTTTATGCCACAATTTACGCCATTGCTCTAATGAATGACATCAAACTGCCTTAGCTTCAAGGCCCGAGCAGCGCTAATCCAATTCAGGCCCAGCGCGCTCCTTTCCTCTCCCACTCGTCACCCGACCCAAAGACTACAAACGTCTGGGCTCTTAGACCAAACAGGGCCGGGCCGCGGGGAATGTGGGGTCCCGGGCCAAGCCGCAGGACGTTTGTGTCTGCCGCAGCCGTAACTCGAGACGTTTATTGCACCCAACACTTCTCATGGCTTTACGAGGCAGTCTGCCCCGCTCTGCCCTGCACAGGCCCACCCACCGCCATGGGACGACCGGAGAAAAGAGCTCTTGCCAGGGATTCACTCGCTGTAAAGACCAGCTCTGCTTTCAGATAAGACCACTATTCACTTCAATATCATTTCTTCAGGAGAGAGCATGTGTTGGCTCAAACTGATTCAGAATGTTATAAAAATAAGATAAAAACAATGACTAAAACACAAACATTTAAAACGATACTAATGGAACCTCAATACTTTTTCCAAAAGTAATGTTTTTATAAAAAACATTAAAAAATGAACATAAAGGAATGAAAACGGGAAGACTGGACTTCCTATAGCCCCAGCCTATGAAGTAATGACATGTCATTTATCATGGTTAAAATAAAACATTTATCTTTGGAGTTTTAATAGGAATTTATTTCAGCGGGTCTTTCTAATGAAAAATTTACTGCTTTGCCAGGAATGTTCTACAATACGGTATACAGTAACTGTTAACTTTGCTATTTTCTATGGCATTTTTGGACAGAAATGACATGGTTTTGGGATAGCTTACTTAGAGAGAATAGAAGGCCTCACACAAAAATGCATGTACAGTAGCAGCCCGTAAAATACAAAAAAATATTATAATGCATATATTCATGACATCCAAACCACTTAGCAGTGCATTTATCATGTTTTCCTACTGAGGTCACAGCTGCCTTGAGAAGAGTAACTGAAGTCACATCCTCTAATAACCACCAAACTCGCTAACGTGCCTTGCTTAAGAACACAATAACAGTTTCACAATAAACTACAGCGCTCCACTCTCCCAATCCTTATTAGAGTGGACTTCCATCCAAGTACAACCAGACCCCAACCCCAACCCTTAGTTTCCAAGATCTGACAAAATTGGGTTTTGAAAAAACAGTATTTGGTCAGAGCAATATAAGCTAAATCAAACACAATCTTCATTAGAGCAAAAAGTCTAAAACTTAATTGTCAGAATGTTAGCCACTGGTTAGCAGATATAAGATTTGTAAGTTTTACATATCGTGTGTATGGAGGAGCCCCAGCTCTGTCTAAGTGAGTCAGCTGCTGTCGCACACAGCTGCTGCACTCAGCTGTCACAGTGGGAGCAGAATGCTTCAGGATTCTAACTTCTTCAGAAGAGAGCCACATTAACACAGGGAGGACTTTACAATGAGTGTCTCTGCTGCCCTCTAGCGCGCTACCACTTCATTTTTAATATACACAGCTTTGCTTCTTGAGTTAAACCTTATTGCCGCTTGGTGACGCACAGTACCAAGTTCTCTTCATCCAGAGGGAGAATGTCAATTGTCACTGTAAAAAATACAAAAATGTTTAAAATGCACCTGAAGAAAAAGCAAAAACTCATGATCTTGACTCATTATAGGCTGTTATTTATTATGTCTAATCATGTGCAGCATATAAACCAACAATGGGAAATAGAACAGAATGTAATTCTGGATGATGATACCTGGGAGGGTATTTGCTCCTGTCATAGGTTATATTAATATTCTTCAAGGTTTTTTGAACGTTTTTTTAAATAAGCTTTGCAAAAGTCAGGAGCATGGAGCCAGTGACAAATGCTGGAGGAAGTTCAGATAAAGCTTCACATTTTGTCTCAGCTAAGTCAGTAATTTTTTTTGAAGATGGATGTGAAAGACAATACAAAATGATCAGTAAACAATGAGGTGGATCCTTCAAAGTTCTTACTATTTTTGTCATATCTGTCCATGTTTTACTAGGAAGTCAATTTGAAAAACTTTACCAAACGTTTAGACAATGCATTACAAGACAACATAGGAATAAATCTTAGAGTTACCTAACTTTCAAACCACAAAAAATGTAACTAGGCGATGTGATAAAATGCATGCAACTAGTTCCTAAATACAGTTTGGTTCTACCAACAGATTCCACATGCATGTATTTTTGGCCTCTGTCATTTCTATAGATAAGCTTTTTCAGACAGAAAATTGAAAAAGAGGGGATCACAACTTTTTAACAAGACTCTAAAAGGTATTACTTATGAAAAATACAAGTTAGTTAACTCAGCTTTCAGGTTTAATCTATTCGTACCCAAAGGTAAATTTGTCTTGCACTTTGAGAGAGCGTTTAATCGTTTGGTGAGATGTGGAACGTAAATAAATGTATGAATAATTTGAAGGGGTTAAGGTTCGTCCTGACCGGAGTTGGTGTTGGAGCTGTAGTTCTGAATGGCCTGCTGCAGCTGCACTCGGACACACTGAGCCATCGCAGTGGACAGAACAGAAGAGAAACTGTGACCAGGGAACAGACTCATCAGCATCGCAGGTAGCTGCACACAACACATACAGGAGAAGGTTTCACAGAGTATTGTGGGCTGATCATTTATCGTTTTCTTTAACCCTTTATTGATCACTCCTTGAACAAAGCAATGTAAATGTTTCTTGTAGATGTTGGAGAACTAATAACGAAAATATGTTTTTGTTGAGATGCAATTGGATGGTTAAAGTGCCTAAAACCAAGTGATGGAGATGCCTAGATTTCAGTAAGCTTCAAGTAGATAAGAGTGCCTCAAAAAGTGAACCATGAGGCTGAGGAAACCGTTAAGAAATATGAATGAAATATGAATGATTGAAATAAATATTTCAATCATTCATATTTCATTCATATTTCAAACCGTTAAGATATAAGGTATTTTGATTTGGTATTTTGATCGAATTGAGAGCTGTGATCAAAAACTTGACTTACAGGTTCATGAACTCGCAAAATTTAAATTTTAAATGCTTAATAATAATACTTGGACAGAGCAGCGTCAGGCAGATACTTTGAATGTTTGTGTGCGGGCTCACCTCTGTGTTGTCGGGCTGAAGAATGAGCGTCCGTACGAAGTCCTCTTTGGCCTGGTCCATGTTGCCGAGTTGCCGATGAGCTTTAGATCGTAACTCATAGGCCTGACTCAGAGTAGGGTCATACTGAAGGGCTTGAGAGAAACTCAGCATGGCGTCTTTAAAGCGCCTGGAAACCACAAATAAAGAAAATAAAAATGTGAAGGGCAACTTTTGATTATATATTAAAAGGAGATTAATAGTAAGACTCAAAGACGATTCACATGGCATTATTGATTCAAAAACTACTGTGGCCACTGCAGCTTTCCTGGAGCGGACTCATACTCAACTATGTAGGTGAAGTGTCTTGTCTCAGGACACAAAAAGTTTAGCACTTTACAGCTTCTGCAAAATGTATGAGTGTCGGTAATGAGCTCTGACCGTTCACCGAAGCTTATGCTTCCCACAAGTTTGTGAAACACAGACAGACGCTGGCTGACAGTCGGGTCATTGGGGCCCAGCAGCTCCTCAGCTTGTTGATAATCAGCAAGAGCATAGAGCCAGATCCTCTGTTTAAAGAAGCAGTCTGCAACACACAAGACTTGTGCCATTTGTGTTTGGATATAATATAACTCCAGGCATGTTTTAACTTCATGTTTGAATATTATGTATCCTTCAACCAGAAGCAAGGCTGTTACCTCCCCTGTTGATGTAAAGGCCTGGCTGGTTTTTCTCCTCCTCTATGGCCTTGTTGAGCAGTGCTGTGGCTTCCTCGTACAGCCCTTTAGAGAAGCACTCGAGGGAGAAGTCGTTGTAGGTGAGTACAAGCTGAGCCTCTGCCTCTTTCACCACAGCGTCCTCCTGCTCACTGCCCTGGCTCAGCTCCACGGCCTTGACCAGGTCCGTTAGAGCTCTGGAGAAATGTTTCTGACGTCGACATAGTGTCCCTCTGTGTAGAAGACACAGCCAAATTCACATGCTCTTTGTTTTGGTGGAGGAGATAGTTCATTTAAATTGTTCATTCATATTTCATTACCAATCAGCCATATAAAAAACCTTCAGCTATTAATTTCATTATGCATACTCAAAATACTCAAATTTCCTCAAAGAGTCTTGATATCATGGAACCCATAGATAGTGATATCTGCTGCTGTGGTGTTATTCTGGGCTCATTTCATAAAGGTACAGAGGTAGCTCACCTCAACAGGTACAGGTGGGGGTCTTGAGGCAGGTTCTCCAGAGCCTGGTTGATAAGCCTTTGGGCCTGGGGTAGGTCTCCACACAGAGCTCTGTCCACTGCAAACTGTTTCGCCCTTTCTGCTGCTGCCTTCAGTTGCTTGAACAGAGCGCCCCCTTCTGGACAGGACGGGTTCAGTTCCAGAGCACACTTGACATCTTGGAAACACAGGGGTTTCTGCAGAAATAGAGATATAAGTTTGCCATGAATACCTGCTGCTGTGTGCGCTTGAATCATTTCCAGCAGCCTGGAACCTCGACAATTTTTCCAGCCCTATTGTTTTTATTTCCTTTTAAAGGTGCTTCTCTTTTGTACCTTCAAGTGAATCCTGAAGAACAAGTTTGCCAGTCAATGGTAGCATTTAAAAAGCCAAGATGAAAACAGAGAAACATGCTGAAGCTGAAACCTTGCTGAGCTGGAGGTGGAGTCTGGCTCTGAGCACATAGAGATCTGCTGTGGGACCGTCCTGTTCCATCCACTCTGTGACCAACTGCACACAGTCAGTGTAGAGGCCCAGCGCCGACAGACACGCCACACTGTGGAGACAAAAGCAGAGGACTTTTGTCCCTGTTAAGAACGAATCTACTTTACTTCGATGTATTTATACAAAAACATTAAAGAACACTTTGTTCTCAGGTTTGATATAAACAGTAGTCATTAGCAGTGAGTGCATTATGACTCAAAGATAATTGGGCGATGATGCCTGCCCCTTCACAATCATAAAGTAAAAGTGCCAAAAGGGCAGCAGATTACAGTAGTGAATATTGTATTTGTCTTGACCAATTAAGATTTGTTTATCATAAAAACAAGATCATTTCATGTAGGAATTTAAAGATCCATGCAAATTATAACTATAAATCAAAAGTTATCAAACTTTTCACAAACATCCCTTTCCACCAAGCTGGTGACGGTGCCGGATCCGTGCTGGTTCCTATTTCAAAACCAGTTCTTTTCGTTTTTCACTCAGTAAATGCTAGAACCTAGTGCTGAAACCTGGCACTGACCCAGTCCCAGTTCAAACCAGAGCCAAAAATGGCAACCAATTTTTGAGAAATACGTAACATTTCATTTAATCTCTAACTCATTTTTAAAAGTTATTAGACAAGATATAAAAAAAACAGTAAGTTAAGAAGAAAATTCATTCTAATAGTGGGTTGCTATGGTAATGGGCACTAGCCTTGCTCTGGTGGAAAACTGAAACAGCCAAGAACCTGCCCTGAACCAGCCTTGTTTACTTTGGGGATGCTGCTAGGTAACCATCTCCACCTATCTAACACTTCCAACCGAGAACCAAGTTCACCAACCAACTAGACAAGTTTTAAAATAATATTTAAATTGTATAATAATTCTTATGCAAATTGAATAGTCCAAATTAAATAATACTGATCCAAAGACTTTTACAACTAGTTGTGGCCCAGATAAAATGGTATGCATACACACATTATCTAACTATGATGTGTTTTTCCTTGGTTATTTCTAAGTCAAACCTGCGAGCGTCATATATTCTAGATGAAGCAGGGTTGATTATTTTGGCTTTTCTAAACGCCTCCAGTGCCTCTTTGAAGAGCTCTCGATGGAACAGGTACTCGCCCTGAACAACAACAACAAACATTACAAAATGAATATTTTGGGGTATATTTATCAATGCAGGTGCTAAACTGCGGGTGAATCTGGAACTTTCTGTGTGTATTGATTGGGATGCTCAAAAAATATTGTACAAATATTGATGTGATATTCATTACTGATTCTGTCTTGTAAAGTTCTCTGAAAGCTGTGTGTTTTGATGTGATACAGTATGCAGCCCGATCTCTCATATCAACCAAATAGTTTGGTTACAACTAAATCATTCAGTTGATTTACTGAGCACATAACAAAAAAGCACTTTCAGCACAGAACTTGCCTGCAGAAAAAAGACGCGGGCCAGTCTGTCAGTGTGAACGTCATCGGGCTGCAGGACATAGGCTCGTCTGTAACTGAGAGCAGCGGACTGGAAATCACAGAGCTGGAGAAACGCTTCCCCCTGGAGAGTGTGCAACTGTGCCTGTGGAGAGAACAATGGTGGTGCTGGATTTGAAAGAACATGGAGAAAATTAGGTCCAATAAAAACATGTTGTATCTGTTGTCAAAGAGATCTAGAACTTTGTGAAGTGAAGGTAGGATTGAATATGCCCTTTAGTCTATTAATAGTTTTCAAAAGGATGACAATATCATATCTGGAATAGGAATAATCCACAAACATTGAGAGATAAGATAAGAGAAATTATAAAAATGCACTAATGTTATATATATATTTTTTCCTTTATGTTCTAACATTTCAAATTTGTGATTCAAGTCTTCGGTTTCAAACTTCCACTTGGTTACATGTATTTATTTGAGCCGTTTTGAGTCATTTGTTGACTGTAGCATATTTGGTGTGTTATCATACTGTTTTTCTCCCTGCCTTTGTCCTCAGTTACGAACCAAGACTGTATATAAGGGTTAGAAGACAGAACACTTATGATCTTGTTTTTACATTCATAGGTATGGACACACTACTGTAACCCACTTTGAAAAGTCTATTTGGCACAATATGTACTCAGTCTACTACTCAGTCCTAAGTGGTATTAACAGAATCATAACTGGTGCAAGTGGATGAGCCAAAAAACAGTAAAATCCTTGTACTTTGGGAGGTAGTTGTGTGTCTTACTGCTCCTGTGCCTTGCTCTGAATGATGGCACAGGCCTGCAGCTCCGGTCGCGGCTCTGAGCTCTTCTCCCCAAATGTCAGAAAAACTTTACTGGAACCAAACAGACGCTTCAACATCTGCTCCCTCCTCGTCAGCTCCAGGTTCTCCACAGGCTGCTGAAACACATACAAAACTCATTTGACCAAGCTGTGTTAACTAGAAGCTAACGTGTTACTAGCTAGCTATGTTGTTAATGGAAGTAACTAACGCTAGCTAATAACGAATAATAGCGAAACTTTTATGCATAATTGACCAAATGAACATATGAAATTCTGTATCTTACATTTTCTTGTGGTTGTTCTTCGGTTCCTGACATGACAGATAAACGCTCTGGGGGCGTTTAGTCAAAGATTTCACCTCTAAAAGTATTTATCATGTCGGCTGTTCAGCAATCTGTCGCTATGGAAACGGACAGGTTCGGGCAGGTTTGAGCCAACCACGTGCGCATCGTTGACAGTAGCTCAAACTAATGTTGATAGGATTTTATCAATATCTATCACATAAAGGGGATACATTTTTCTGGGCTTTTTTTCTTTCATTTCTCCCCTCACACAATCAAGGGTAAACAATATTCTAGTGAGATATACAAACTCGTCGCGTTTACTCTCCTGACCAGTAGATGGCACTTCACGCCCGGTCTGGTTGGTCTCTAGATCAGACTCAAGACCAACATGGCGGTGACAACAACATGACATTTGAAGACAGCAAAAGACACCAGTATATTTGATTTTATACTTAAAATAGTGTAGGCTGGATTATTGTGGAACTATCAGTAAACTAAATCCGGTTGACTGATTTTGTATGTCTATAAGATACCATGTTGGTTGTGTCTCTGTTTAAGCATGTGTGACAGAAAATTTGTATAATCATAAAGATTAAAATCGTAAACTATAAAAAAAAAAAAATTCCAAACGTAATAGGAAATGTATGACAAATTGTGTGGAGCAATTTGAAGTATCGTGCTGACTAACGCACCGCATTTCAATAGATTGCATCATTGAAAGCATAAAAGTACGCATTTCGACAAAAGTTTAGTTGAAATAATGTTACATGTCTAAGCCGAATGACAGTCATATGTATAATAGGTCGTTTTTGTCGCCGTTTATCGGAATTGCTAAAGAATCTGGTACATTCTGTGTTGGATTTGAAGAAAATGCGTGGAATGTTGAGCCGAGTTCTGTCCAGAGTTTTGATGAGTCCGCTCTTCACTGGGACAATGGAAACAGCACAGCTTCACACGGAGACACGGAGGAGAATGGTGAGAGCTTTATGTTAATTGTTTGTCAAATTATAAATCATATTAACTGTAATTAATAATAAAAGATATTGGCCCAATTAAAAAAACTCCTTTTTTGTATTTTTACCGTTTTCCATTATTTATTTTCTTATAGAACTAAGACAATGTATTTTAACTTTCTATTTGTGGTTAGAAAATAGATGTGTTTTTAGAACCACAAATTGTACTACAAATTTATTTTACAATTAGGGATACAATAATATTACAAAAGCTCCACTTGTATAATTCAATATTAACAGACCAGGCATCCTGAAAACTACAGATACAATTAAAATGAGTTCATTTTGCTTCTAAAATGATATTGAATACTATTAGCCCCTCTCCCTGAAATCTCTTGTGTGTGGTTCAGGTGGTGGGTCTGGGTAACCCCGGTATGGACGGCACCAGGCACAATGTGGGCCGTGCTGTGCTGGACTCGCTGGCAGTGCGTTTAGGGGCATCGGGACGCTGGAGCGGTGATCGTCAGCTGAGCTCAGAGCTGGTGGTGTGCGATCTAGAAGGAGAGCGAGTCATTCTGCTCAAACCCAAACTCCTGATGAACGTGAACGGAGCTGCGGTGGCCAAAGCAGGTGAGCACCACATGTCCAACACCAGTCCTACTTGGTCCAACTCTACTCAGCTAAAAGAAACCTAACTGTGTTGTCACATATAATACATTTTTATCTCAGCAGAGTTGTAGAATTTTGTAAACAAATCAGAACCCATGCTGTCACATCAGGCTATCTTCATCTCACCAGAAAACAACAATAGGCTTAAAGTAAAACAAATCGGTGTACATCACTGTTTGTCATGTACACCGATACAGACCATCTCTGATTGCTTGCGATTACAACGTTTATTATCTGCCAATTGAAAATGTTTTTTTCCCATTACAACTTATTTCCGGGTTGCGTTTCTTATACTATTTGGGCTTGTTCACACTAAAGGGCACAAACGTGTGACAAAAGGCCAAAAATTTGATTTGAATAATCAGAAGATATTTTATGTTTTTCATGTTTCCAAGCACCTCCTCAGTCCATTAGAAGTTGCTAGAACATAACTGTTTTATACATTAGACAAGTTTCTTATAGCGGCCCTGTTTATTTTATGTAACGGACGTGATGATTTGACGGAATGAGCTTTGTGGAAGTTTGATAGGTATTTTCAGATGTCCACATTTGATTCAGAGATTCTATTTTTTTACACAAAGTAGATGCAAAGTGATACTATCATATTGTCAAGTAATTAAATGTGAAAACAGACCAGATTTTTTTTTTCTCAAGTTTAATTTTTAGAGAAAAGAGGACCGTCCTCATCACGTCCGTTATACATTTTTCAGGGGTCATTTAAACAATTAATTTATTTTTTATTTTTTCACAATTCCTTTTCATATCAAGTGATTTCCTTCTGTTGTGTTAACCATAATAATCTTGTGGGATTTCATCTTCTGCTTTTTCAGACTGAGGACATTCTATTTTCTATGTAACTGGCGTCACAGTAGAATGGTCCAATCAGAGGCTAATTTGGTCTTTTAAAATGTTGCTAAACATTATTTTGTCGATCTTTCCTTTTGATTTTTTCCACACTATCTCTTCAATCTGTCTGTGTTTGAAAACTTTTCTCCAATCTATGAAAGTGATTTTTGTTTTTAAGTTATAACCTTTTAAAGTCCAGATACTTCAATTGTCACTTTACTGTGAACACACTCATTTAGTGACATTGAAATTAGTAGTAATCACAGATTCCAGCTTGAACTGGGAGCCAAGCAGGTTTTTTTTTAAGGAAAAGTACTAGTTCTTTTTGTCATTCGAACTCTCTCTGCACAGTGAGGAAGTTTGGGGTGCAGCCGGAGGACGTGCTGCTGGTTCACGATGAACTGGATAAACCTCTGGGAAAAATTGCAGTCAAACAGGGAGGAAGTGCCAGGTGAATATGACCATATGATATTATAACTTAGTTTTTTTGGCTGGACTAGACTGTTTGTATTTCATTTTTTTAAATGTGGTTAAGTCACTATCACTGAGGAACATTATTCTCCAAACTTGTTATAACCAGATTCTTTTATATACAGTAACCAGTCATAAAACAGAGATTTCCTATTTTTCTGGTAAAACTATGATTGAATAAGTTGCTTTTATAGATGATTATTGGTTCTGTCTGCTGTTTATTTTCTGAAATATTTCCCCTGCAATACATGAAGTATTGTGTTATTGTGACAAGCATAGTTGCAGCCTTGATAAAAACCATTGATAACTCTACAATCTCTGTTACAGAGGTCACAATGGTGTGCGCTCCTGTGTGGACTGTCTCAACACTGACGTAAGACTCCCTTCATTTTGAATTCCTGCCTCAAGCTTTGCATTTACTTCTTGTTGATAATGTAAAGATGAGTTGTCACACTTATTTTGGTCAGTTTTTTTTCTTGTTGGTTACATCATATATCATTTTCTGGCTTATTTGTCTCAAAACAAAATGTGTTTATTGCTTCGATTTAACCAGAACTGGACCAATATAAGTTGAACACATTTATTTTATATTCAACTGTTCAACTTTATTGATGTGTTTGGGTTTAGATTAAATTAAATGTGGTTGTTTTCTTGAGAAAATAGATGGGCGACAGTGGCTCAGTTGGTAGAGCATTGGCCTTTGAGCCCACCATGAGACCTACTTCCCATTAATGTCTGCTGTTGTTGTGTCCTTGGGCAAGACACTTAACCCCACTTCATCACCGACTCCCACTGTCTGCTGTCGTTGTGTCCTTGGCAAGACACTTAACCTCTGGGAACACCTGATGCCAGAGTAAAGTGCCAAACTGCCGTTGTGTCCTTAGGGACTTCACCCCCATTGCCTAGAATGAGTCTGGTGTGTGTGTGAATGGTTGGTGGTGGTCGGAGGGGCCCATGGCACATACTGGCTGCCTCGCTTCTGTCAGTGTGCCCCAGGGCAGCTGTGGCTACAGTAGTAGTGTATCACCACCATGTATGGAGTGTCCAAAAAAGCGCTATATAAAACCGATGCATTATTACAATGTACAGCATGTTATGGTAGCTCACAAATATCAGTGCTGCAATTCAATAATGATAATAATAATAATAATTGGAAATCAGAGGCCACTAAAAATTGTCTTGCGGCCGGATTTGGCCCACAAATCATGTCTGGTTTGACATGTCTGGTGTAAGGGATTGCTTGTGTCACCAAATTTCCTGTAGTTACAGTCTGCAAGGGAATGACTATGTACACCTCATTTGATTTGGATGATACATGATAAGCAATTAAGTAATTAAGTAAAGCAAGTTAGTTAGTCCCCTTTATTTATAAAGCGCATTTCACAGACTCAATTTCCCAAAGTGCTTCACAATATTTTTGAGGTGCTGATATTTGTCCATTCACTCACTTCTCACTTCTTAAGCTATTTACCCTGCAAGTAACTACAGAACAATGTTGTCTGAGTAACATTTTGTGTAAATATTTGAATGTTGTGATATCTCCGAAACACAACCCATCAAAACATAGGTCCTCCGGGTTTAAGAGTTCACATCTCTTGGTTGCAGGTGATGCGGCGAGTGCGTGTGGGCATCGGCCGGCCCTCTGGGAGCACCTCGGTGGACCGACACGTATTGGGCCGGTTCAGTCCGGACGAGAGGAAAACCTTAAACTCTGTTCTGGCTCAGAGTGTTGACCTGCTCCTCAGCCTGCTCTCACCACCAGGGGGCGTGGCAGTCAGACAACAGCAGCAGAAACGACCTAAAAGACAAGCGGAAGATATGGACAAAGATGAGACAGCATCGCCCTCATGACTTCCACCTCTTGATGGACACATAATTAAGATTGGACTAATGAAAATAATGTGTCTGTAATCCTCAGTGATCATATTTTGCTTTATTTATGTTGCTTTTAAAGTTAAAATAACTTAAAATATCTTAATGGTTTTCTCAATCATGGCATTTACGCAAACATTATTTATTTTCTGGGTGATAGGTTGGTATGGTTGTAGGGGCTACGGGCCCCTACAACCTTCACTTTTGCTCATAATGGGGGCCACACTTAACCTTCTTGCCCTGAATCACCACATTCTGTCAAAGGGCCAGCCTGTCTGTGTCCCCAAGGTTATCAAGTTCATATTGGATTTAGTCTGTACTGTGTTGGTTTCTTCCTAATTAAAAAAACATTGTTCATATTAGGTTCTCCTCACTAATTTACCCAGAATCAGCAGCAGCAGCTCAAATCTGTCCTCTAACTTTCTGTATAAAGATTAAGAGACTGACTCAGTTATACCTTGTTGATGCAACCCAACTGTGCCTTCACATTCTGGTGGATTTGCTTAAGAAAATAGATTCAGATCCATTTTATTTGCCATTTGCTGTAAAACCACATTGAAAACGTTTGCAAAAGTCCTCAGTGTGAACAAGACAAGTACATACAGTGCCTTGCGAAAGTATTCGGCCCCCTTCAACCTTTCAACATTTCGCCACATTTCAGGCTTCAAAAATAAATATATGAAATTTTAATTTTTTGTCATGAATCAACAACAAGTGGGACACAATCGTGAAGTGGAACAAAATTTATTGGACAATTTAAACTTTTTTAACAAATAAAAAACTGAAAAGTGGGGTGTGCAATATTATTCGGCCCCTTTACTTTCATTGCAGCAAACTCACTCCAGAAGTTCAGTGAGGATCTTTGAATGATCCAATGTTGTCCTAAATGACTGATGATGATAAATAGAATGTACCTGTGTGTAATCAAGTCTCCGTATAAATGCACCTGCTCTTTGATAGTCTCAGGATTCTGTTTAAAGCGCAGAGAGAACCATGAAGACAAAGGAACACACCAGGCAGGTCCGAGATACTGTTGTGGAGAAGTTTAAAGCCGGATTTGGATACAAAAAGATTTCCCAAGCTTTAAACATCTGAAGGAGCACTGTGCAAGCAATTATATTGAAATGGAAGGAGTATCAGACCACTGCAAATCTACCAAGACCCGGCCGTCCCTCCAAACTTTCATCTCAAACAAGGAGAAGACTGATCAGAGATGCAGCCCAGAGGCCCATGATCACTCTGGATGAACTGCAGATAACTACAGCTGAGGTGGGACAGTCTGTCCATAGGACAACAATCAGTCGTGCACTGCACAAATCTGGCCTTTATGGAAGAGTGGCAAGAAGAAAGCCATTTCTCAAAGATATCCATAAAAGGTCTCGTTTAAAGTTTGCCACAAGCCACCTGGGAGACACACCAAACATGTGGAAGAAGGTGCTCTGGTCAGATGAAACCAAAATCGAACTTTTTGGCCACAATGCAAAACGATATGTTTGGCGTAAAAGCAACACAGCTCATCACCCTGAACACACCATCCCCACCTCAGCTGTAGTTATCTGCAGTTCATCCAGAGTGATCATGGGCCTCTTGGCTGCATCTCTGATCAGTCTTCTCCTTGTCTGAGATGAAAGTTTGGAGGGACGGCCAGGTCTTGGTAGATTTGCATTTTTTATTTATTTATTCATTTATTTGACAGGGACAATGTAGTCATACATAGTTACATTATGAAAATGCAGCTGATGCGACACATACAGAGTGTATAGCTAATGCTAATTTTCAACTCCTGTCCCTGGTTGAGCTTTTCCCTACAGTGCAACACATTATACAGAAAGAATAAAATAGGCCTAGCCCTAAAACACATATTTACAACAGTGATCTAAAATTAAGACATTCCCCCAACCAATAACAGCCATATGGACAAAATATTCACAAACGAGAACACTCACACACACACTCACGTACACACACACACACACACAAACACAAAATACTGTTTACAGGTTTAGAAATGGGTGCATGATTGGTTTGTTTTCAGCCACAGCTTGAGCTTTGCGGTGAACTCCTTGAATTCTAATATGTTTTTTAGGTCAGTGGGCAGCGAGTTCCACAGTTTGGCCGTTTTTATGGAGAAAGCAGACTGACCAAATGAGGTTCTCCTGTGTGGGATTGCACAGTTGTTGTGGGATGTACTTCTGGTGACTCTGTTGCTGGTCTGTCTCTGTATAAATGAACTTAGTGGCTCTGGTGCCAGGTTATTGATGCATTTGAATGTTAGTTTTAGAGAGTACAATAATATAACATTTTCAAAACTCAGTAGATGACAGTTTTTGAGTATATTGCAGTGGTGATATCGGGTTGGTTTCTTGTCCATAATTTTTATTGCTTGATTGTATAATGAGCCGATGCACTTTGTGGCTGAGGGAGCTGCCTGGGTCCATGCTGTCATGCAGTATGATAAATGGGAGAAGATCATCCCATGCATGTACAGCAGGGCCGCTTGATTGGGAATAAAATGTCGTATTAGTTTGAAACAGTTAAGATTGCGACGTATAGTTTTGGAAAGTTTTTGTATATGTTTATCAAATTTTAGTTGTGGATCTAGAACCAACCCGAGGTAGTTGAATTCTGTTATTGTTTTGATTTTTTCATTTTGTAATATGATTTGGAAATTTGGATTTATTTTTCTAATAGAAAAGCACATGGACACTGTTTTGGTAAGATTTAAGACCAGGTGATTTTGAGTGAGCCACTTGATCACCTCAGTCATATATGCAGATAACACGTCTGCTGCCTGCTCCGGGGTCTTTGCGGGTGCATAAAAAACAGCATCATCCGCATAGAGTTGGCACATGATACCTGGGCAGGATGATGGAAGGTCATTTATAAAGAGACTGAAGAGCAAAGGTCCTATTATGGATCCCTGTGGAATGCCCATTTGTGACTTTAAAAGTACAGATTTATCTTTATCTATTTTAACGCATTGTGGTCTGGTCTGGAGGTAGGATGTAAACCACTGTATTGCGTTTGGTGAGATGTTGAAAGAGGACATTTTAGACAGAAGTAGATTGTGGTTTACGGTCTCAAAGGCTTTTTTCAGATCCAGAAAGACTGCCCCCACCACTTCACCTCTGTCCATGGACATTTTCAGATTTTCAATAAAACAGCAGTTGGCTATTTCGGTGGAGTAACCTGCCCGAAAGCCAAACTGCTGTGGGTGTAGAAGGTGGTGGGCCTCTAGGTGGTCAGTCAGCTGTGTGGCTACAGTCTTTTCAATAATTTTGGACATAGTTGGTAAGATAGCAATGGGCCTGTAGTTAGACATATTGTCCTGTGCTCCTGATTTAAAAATTGGGACAATAACTGCTTTTTTCCACACTTCAGGGAATCTGCAAGTTCTAATTGAGAGATTGATAACATGGGTCAAGGTCTGATGGTCTGATACTCCTTCCATTTCAATATAATTGCTTGCACAGTGCTCCTTGAGATGTTTAAAGCTTGGGAAATCTTTTTGTATCCTAATCCGACTTTAAACTTCTCCACAACAGTATCTCGGACCTGCCTGGTGTGTTCCTTTGTCTTCATGGTTCTCTCTACGCTTTAAACAGAACCCTGAGACTATCAAAGAGCAGGTGCATTTATACGGAGACTTGATCACACACAGGTGCATTCTACTTATCATCATCAGTCATTTAGGACAACATTGGATCATTCAAAGATCCTCACTGAACTTCTGGAGTGAGTTTGCGGCACTGAAAGTAAAGGGGCCGAATAATATTGCACGCCCCACTTTTCAGTTTTTTATTTGTTAAAAAAGTTAAAATTTTCCAATGAATTTTGTTCCACTTCACGATTGTGTCCCACTTGTTGTTGATTCATGACAAAAAATAAAAATTTTATATCTTTATGTTTGAAGACTGAAATGTGGCGAAATGTTGAAAGGTTCAAGGGGGCCGAATACTTTCGCAAGGCACTGTAAATAAGACAAGATTAAAAGTACAGGAATAGAAAAAAAAACAATTTTCACTGAAATGATTATTATACTGTGGCCATACCTGCATGTGCAAGATAGACCTCTGAAGCTGTGCAGGGCAGGGCCTGGTCAGTACCATGATGGAAGACCTTGGGGAACATCAATTGCTACTGTGAGACTCCTCTGCAGCTGTTGTGAAAAAAACTGAAGTGATCAGTTAAATTCCAAAACACACAGGGAGCCAGTGGAGGGGCGCCAAAGCCGGGGTAATGTGCCCCTTTCTTTTAAAACCAGTTAGAAGTCTCTAACACTTGAACTCTGCTATTAATTGTCAATTACATGTCTTATTTAGTATTTTTCGGTTCTGCATCCACAAAACCACATTTAAGGGGTAGGAAACTTAAGTTTCACTTCTATCTACTCTTTCACATATGTATATATGTTTCTTCTTTTTTTATTGTATTGCAAAATTGATCATTTGAAATAAAGACTACTACTACATATACTGAATGAAACCTGCTTCTCAACCCCCACCCCTCCCACGCTCAGAGAGGAGTGTCCAGTCGTGATCCCTGTGTGACCACTGACCCCCTGGACAAAGAGCCCAGAGCGGTTGGACTGCAGCCGATGGGAATGAGCTGTGGAGGCTTCAGGGGTGGAATATATTATTATTGTAAAGGCGTCGCAGCACATTGCAATCTGCTATTTTAGGGCCACTCATTGCCCGAATCTGTGGTTCAACATTTTGGAATTCAAATGCTTGGGCTTGACACTGGACCAGACCTTGACAAGAAAACAAAGCAAAGTGATCAATCAAATGCATCAATATATGAAGAAAAAGAAACACAGGGACAATTCCTATTCATACACAGACCGTCATACATTTGCATTATTTATCGTTTTTCTCAGACTTTGAAAATGAGAAAAAATTGCCATGAATATGTAATACAAAAGTCCTTTTGTGGCCTTAAACTGCACCAATAGATAAAATATGGGGTAAAATTGATAG